TTATAAGTGATGTATATGGAAAATTTAATTCTTTAAGTCTGTTACCTACATAAAAGAACTAATGATAGACATTAGGAATTCTTATAATAAAACATTTTTTAGACAATTAAACTGTAGTTTACGATTAACAAAAACCAAAACGAGTTACATTTTGTTATTTTAAATTAGTTTTCCGATAAGTTATTATTTGTAGCATTAAACTTCTTATTAAATATACATATTTGAATTTAAAGACTTTGATAAATTTTTTATTAAATTCATACCTGTGTATTCAGCTTGTTTTCTTCCTAAAGGTGTTAAATATCTATCTTTATCTGTAGCTCCATCTAAATTATACTGGCCATGTCTAATAAGAAATATATGGCGAGTTGATTTTGGTATTAGTTTTTCCAATTCATTTTGATATCCTTTATCTTCCTCTGAGATTCCCTTGCTTTCTAATATGCTTGCAGGATTCCTCCTAAACAAAAAAAAAAAATAAAAAACAATATAAATTAATTAAAAAATAAGAAATACTAATGGCTTTTGGTTTTGGCAAATATTGTAAATAAGTAGCATGTAAATGGCAAAAAAACTTACCGGTCCCAATTAGAATCCCATTTATGAACTGCTATTCCATGGCGTTGTGGCTGGGACGTTGTATTTGCCGAAGCATAAACTTTATTTTTATCATTTTGCAATAAACCATAATAAACGATTAATACTCCAGATCCTACGCCTGATGCTGCAGTTAATAATTTACTAAAACATCGGTAGTAGTTAGCCATCTGAAATGGATTTGTAAATCCCACTGTATTAAAAAATTGTTAAATCAATATTAACAACTTAATAAAACAAGTTGGCTCTTTAATAGAAAATTATAAAAATTTTTTTTGGGCCGAATTAAATAATTAAAATATATTTTAAAAAAATTAAAAAAAAAATAAAAATGAATTCAACAATGAAACAATATAACAAATGCCATGTGCACTTTAAAAAAATAGGCCTACCTCAGGATATTGACACAATACTGGGATCACTGGAATTTAATTTATTAACCGATGCGTGTTTTTTTATATGATAAAAAAATTATATTTAAATTTCATCGAAATAAAATTTACTTTCATATTAAACACGTGTATGATGTGTGTATATGCTTATGTGTGTATGGATGTGGGTGGGTGTGTATGCGTATGTGTGCGTATGCCTGCCCTTATAATAGGTCAGTATAACTCACAAAAAAATGGCAAATTATAAATTATGCCTATTTCGAGAGAACACCGTTAGAAAATCGTTAAAACTATCAGATTTTAATTTACAAATAAAAAATAATACTTTAGTATTGAAAAAAAAGCAAATGGTTCATTTTAATTAGTAAATTACTTTAAAAAAGTAACTTTATTACATAAACATCACTGATGCCTTTTTAAAAAAAAAAACATTCTGAGAGGTTAAAAAGATATATACATATAAAAGGCGATGAAAATTATTTTATAAAAAAAAATTAAATTTGTCCGTTATGATGTTTAAAATAAAAAAAAATAAAACATTTTATATTTATACGACATTAATTGTAAACATTAACAATATTTTAAAAAAAAAAAAAATAATCGACAAAACGGATATAGTAGTTTTTGGAGGGTAAGCATGCATCAAACTGCGTTCGATCGTTGAGCACTTGCATTTTGTTGGAAGAACCGTTCGCGATTTTTTATACGTTGATATAATAAAATAAATTTAAAAATGAAAATTACAGTTAAAAAATAGAATTTTTTTAATTATTTCATATAAAAAGTTTAATCGTACATTTCGAAACGAATTTTCGAATTGAAATTCACATAAAGATTTTATAAAATTATACACAATTGAATGTAAGTTCATTAAAATAATATTAAGTATTGAAGTTTTTTTTTTTTTTTTTTTTTTTTGTAAAAGATAAAGAAATTAAAATGTAACGTTTATTTTAAAATTTAATTTTTTATAAATTTGATTAATAAATTTTCTTTTCTTAAAAACAAAAAGAAAAGTTAAGTAAAAATCAAAAATAAAAAAAAATTTTAATTATATTCATAAAGAATCATATAAAGAAAGCAAAACGTATGATAAAAAAAAAAATGGCGGAAATTTTTTTTTTTGCAATTTTTTTTTTTTTTTTTGCTTGATTTTTTTTACTAATTATCCTGTCTTTTATTTGGAAAATGACGAAAAAATATTATAATTAATATAAAAAGAAATTAATTTTAATTAAACGTTACCATTTTCACTGAAAAAAATTATCTTTTTTTTTCCAAAACTTAATTTCAATTAATATGAATCCATAATAAAAATTTTGCCATTGTTAAATAACACAATTATGTTAAAATTTTAAATAATATTAATTAATTAAATAAATTGATATTGATTTGGTATTGATCTTATGTTATGAAACAATTATCTTAACTTATTTAAAAATAATTTTTTTTATGTATTGAATGACCCATTTCCATACTCTCTCCATACATTATTATTTAATCAATTTTTATTATTAGTTAATATAAATTTTTGAGTGAGGTTTTTATAAAATATGAAAATATAATTTGTTAATGATAATTACATTTATTAATTAATAAATTATGTAAAATTAAATTTGAAATTAATTAAAAAAAATTTTCCCCATACTTAATTATTAATTTTAACATTATTAAAGGTTTTTTTTTTTTTTACAATTTCAGGCATAATTATGAAACTTTTTTGGACAATTTTGTTATGTTTTATATTTTTCAATGATTCAAATGCAATTAATTCAGGTAAAATTAATTAATAATTATTATTATTAATATTTTTATTAAAAAAAACTAATTGAAAATTAATTAATTAATTAATTAACAAGTGCAAAAAATTGTAATTCATTCAGGGAAATGTAAAAAATTTAAAATTAAATTTTTTTTTGTTTTCCACATTAATTAAATTTAATTAAAAATTGTTGCAGGATTTTTTATAATAAATTTTTTTTAAAAAAAAATTAATAATAATAATAATAGTAATGATAATAATAATATTTAAAATAGTTTAATGCTTTTAGTTTTATGCCAAAAAATAAAAATTGCATGCAAAATATGAATGGGAATTGTTTAAAAAAATTTTTTTATTTTTTATTTTCTACCCAAAACATTATTATTATTATTATTATTATTATTATTATTATTATTATTATTATTATTATTATTATTATTATTTTATTAAAGTCATAAATAAATTTTTCCCAACAGTCCTCATTGGTGTGTATTTATATACTTTATAACAAATAAATCAATACTTTTTTTAAAAAAAGATGTAAATAAAAATTTAAACAAAAAGAAGAAGAAATGAACCTCAAGTTTAGTTATAGTAAAAATCCTGTTTTTTTAGTGGGGGGAGGGGGTTTTAGTTTTTATTTAATAAATTCAACCCTTTGTTTATATAAAAGTTTTATTACTCATTACATTGAGTCATTCCCAAAAATTGATTTTTGTCTTGTGATAAAAAGGGAAAATTTAATTTTGAGGTTAAAATTAGAAATCTTTTTTTTTCTTTTTCCTTGACATTTATTACTGTTGTTGTTTTTGTTTTGTTTAATTAAGAATTAAATAAATAAATAAATAAAAAAAAAAAAAAAAGATCATTTTCTTTTTTTTTTTTTTTTTCTTTTATTAGTTTTCTCATGGTAAAATTTAAGAAAAAATTTATAAAATTAAATTTGATGAAAAAACAAAAGAAAATTTTTTTTTTCTTAAAAAAAAAAAATTTAATTTCCCATTGGTTTTTTCTCGTATCTTTTTTTAAATGAACTTTTCCAGACAAATTTGATTTTTTTTTTGGAAGGCGTCAGTCTGCCGGACTCCCCATTTTCTTTTTTCAATAAAGAAAAAATATGTATATAAAATGAATTTTTGTTTTAATTTAATAAATGAAATATTTAAAATTTTTTTTGAATAGATATTTCAGACTTACCCCTCATAGTACCAGATCCTGTAGTTGTTCAAGGTTTAGAATGGCTCGATGAACAAAAAGAATTCGATGATGGCTATCAGGATCATACAGCAGAAGCAATTATTGTTTTCCAATTAGCTAACCTTTCATCATATTATACCCGAAACAGTCTATTAAGTCAGCTGACAATTAAAAAAATGGATATTGAAATACTTTTATTATTAATCAGGTACATTTTTCTCTTTTCTCTTAGGAAAAACATAAGTAATTTGAAACATGTTTAAGATAATAATATTAACTTTTCAAAAAAAATTAAATTATTATTTTTTTGTAGACGTCACGAATCGTCACCAAGTCCAAAAGATCTTGCTCTATATAGTATAGCATTAAATTCATTGTGTCGTGATCCCAGACAATTTTACGGTCTCGATTTAATAAGTAATATTAATCATCAGGAAACTTTAATAGATTTGGAATTTGCCGTGTCTAGTCTGGCAGTTTGTACCTCAGGTACTCACGTTAGAAAAAGACAAATTCGAAGGTTGCTCGACATAACCGAACAAAATAAACAGACTAGCGTTGGTAAGTAAAAATAATTCAAAAGATCGTTTATACGAAAAATAATAATATT